CTAAGGTGGAGACATTTCGGTACCTGGAGGAGAGATTGCTGGCGAAGCTTCAGGGGTGGAAGCAGAGACATTTATCGTGGGCAGCGAAGGAGGTCCTTCTTAAAGCGGTAGCTGCTGCGCTCCCAATCTATGTGATGTCATGTTTTCTCTTGCCAGTGACCTTATGTCGAAAGTTGGACAAGCATATGGCGCGCTTTTGGTGGGGATATTCGGTGGATAAGAAGAAGGCGCATTGGGTTTCCTGGCGGAACCTGTGTCGTAGTAAGTTCGATGGTGGTCTGGGATTTCGGCGCTTTGAGGACTTCAACCAAGCTTTATTGGCAAAGGTGGCGTGGCGAGTTTGGCAGGAACCAAATACATTACTGGCGCAGGTTTTGAAAGGGAAGTACTTTGCGAAGACTTCGATTTTACAGGCGAAGCGTGGGTCTAGGCCGTCCTGGGGGTGGACTAGTGTTCTTCATGGCAGGGATTTATTGCAGCAAGGTTTAGTTTGGCAGATTGGTGACGGGAAAGAAGTTAGGGTGCTGGAGGATAATTGGATTCCTGGAGTGCGCCGTGAGGAGAGCTTTGTTCTCCCCTCAGCCCAGGTGATGGCGGATACTCGGGTAGAATCGTTCTTGATTCCTGGTACGGGGAACTGGTGTCTGGAGTGCTTGCAATATTGCTTTTCTGATTCGACGGTGCAGTGTATTCGGGCGATTCCATTGCCAGTCCGACAGGTACCTGACCGGTGTGTTTGGGCTTGGGAAGAAGATGGGGAGTATACTGTGAAGTCTGGCTATCATTTGGCCCTTCAGATTAGTCGTAGGTCCCCGGGATGGAAGGAGGAGGTCTCCTTTTTTGATATGGGATTTTGGAAGAAAGTGTGGAGTTTTCCTTTACCTCCGAAATTGAAATTTTTTGTTTGGCAGCTCCTTAGGCGCATTTTACCTACTGCTGAGGCGATCATTGAAAAGCAGGGTCGGATCCCCGCTGAGGTCCTAGACGCACCGGAAGAGGAAGAAGTCATTTCTCCCCGATGCCTAGTGTGCTGGGCGCCGGTGGAGACCCTTGAGCATTTGTTTTTGTCTTGTAGAGTGGCGACGGCACTTTGGAGTTGCTCGGGGGTGGCGGGTGTGAGTGGGATGGCGGATCTTCCTAATTTTGCTTTGTTCTTCCGGCAGATGATTGAGCAAGATGCTGGGGCGGAGAGGATAGTGCGCATGGTGGCTTTATTGTGGAGGGTTTGGAAGAGCCGGAATTGGGTGGTTTTTGAGCATTTACAGTATGATATTCCGTGTTTAGTCCGTCAGTACGAGGCTCAGGTGAAGGAATGGTTGGCGTTTATCCAACCGGGGCAAGTTCCGATGATGCAGCTGCAGCAGCGAGTGTTGGGAGGGGGTAGGGGGCAGGGTCGGGTGCAGCAGGTGGTGATGCCGTTTTCCTGTCATGTGGATGGGGCGGTTGCGCCGGGGTCTCATGGTGCGGGGGGCTTGGTTGTCCGTGATGGTAGGGGGCGAGTGTGTATGGTGAAGGGATTTCATTATGCAGGTCTCGTGGATCCTTTCCTAGTGGAGTTGGTTGCATTACGGGATGCAATCCAGTGGTGCTTAGGGAAGGGGCTGGAGGAAGTGTGGTTTTATGGAGATGCCAAGAACGCTATTGAGAAGATTCAACGTCGGGATGCTCGGGACTTGAAGGGTGGGCGGATTCTTGAGGAGATTGAAGGTTTGCGGCAGCAGTATCGTGGTTTTGGTGTTTCGTTCGTTGGCAGGAGTGGCAATCGGGTGGCTCATGATGTAGCCAGGAAGACCCTTTCTTTGTTACCTGCTGTTGTTGCGAGTTTTGACTTTGATTGTTGGTTTCGTTTTGGGTTGTAGTCTGTGTTTGTAAGACTTTGCTATCTTTGATTTGGTAATACCATTATCTATTGCTAAAAAAAAAAAATGGGGGATATAGGAGATAAACACTAAGCAAATGTTGTCCGAACTATATCCCGATGGGTCCAGCTCCATCAATGAAGCCCAAATATATTTTTCTCTTAAACTGAGATAACCAGACAAGGCCCATTAGTTTTGGGCCTCGTGGAGCCGACTCTCCTTCGCGGTTAACATCCAGCCACATGAGTTTCTCGACCTGTCGTCTTCGTTACGCGCCACCTGTCCCTCCCTCTAGAGCTGTCTTCCTTTCTCTCTCGCGTCATTCTTCTGCTGAATCGTCACTTAAAAAACTCGTCCCCGACCTCCACCGGAACGCGATTTCCCGCAGAACCAGAATTTCGCACCGTTACCGGAGTTTGACAGGGCCACAGAGAAAGAGATAGAGAGAGAGAGACGAAGGAGGAGAGCAGTTTCCATCGAAATGAGGACCGTTGCGTCGCGGTTGATCGACTCTAGAGCTTCTCTATCTAGATTGTAGTAAGTCCGCTCTTTCTCATTCCCTTATTCCCTTCAGTAGAATTGCATTACTATAGTTAGGGTTTGCACGGGAATTCCTCTCGATGTTTCTGATTGTTCAATTTTTTCGGAAACAGTACAATGGCGGCGGGGTACGGTGAGCGGAGATGTTTCTCAAATGATTCTAATAAGGTGGATGAGCCTTTCAAGGTCGAGGAAGCAGAAACTGTGAACGTCCCTCCGCCACCTCAAGAAAAGGTTCGAATCTTGTTCGCGTTGTTACTTGTTGGTTGCCTTTTTGGTATTTGCATTTTCATTCTGTTATGTGTTTGGATTCAGTTGCTGGTGTTAGGTGGAAATGGTTTCGTTGGCTCTCATATTCTCAGAGAGGCTCTAGATCGAGGCTTATCTGTTGCCAGCCTTAGCAGGTATGCGTTTTTATGATGCTTGTTTGTTTGCTTGTGAATCTGCTACTAGTTGTCCATTTTGATAAGTGTCATTTGGTGGTTTGAACTTCAGAAGCTAGCCTCCGATCTAGATAAATGATCCATAGATTCAAATTCTAGTTAGAACTTAGAAGGTTGATTGAAAGTAGTCGAGGCTGTCTAGCTTCTTATGTTTTTGAACCCTTACCCTTCAAAGTTGTGGTTCAATAATGTTTGTTATGGAAAGGTTGCTACTATACTTGAGCTGCTTTCAATGTTTCTCAAGTTCTTTCCGGATTCCGTTTTGCCAGCATGACTAATGTCACTAAACTAGTTCTTGCTGGCATTTGAATCTGCTCGTTTTTTCCATGCAGATCTGGGAAGTCATCATTGCATGATCCATGGGCTAACAATGTCACGTGGTATCAAGGTTTAGTTTTTACTTTGCTGTTGAGTGTTGATTCTTCTTATTTGGGAAGTCTGGAATTCTTTTCTGTAGCTTGATTCCTTGCCCTTACCTTATGTAGGGAACCTTCTTTCACCCGATTCCTTGAAGGATGCTCTCGATGGCGTCTCTGCGGTTGTAAGTAATCACTCTGTTTGCTTGCACCTGTTCAATAGGTTATGTATAGGGAGTTACTTCTTTGTGATGGAGTCGACTATGGCATGTTGTTGTCCTCTGTTGGTACTGACTCAGCTTCTACTATATTTTAGATTTCCTGTGTTGGTGGTTTTGGCTCACAATCTTACATGTACAAGATCAACGGAACTGCGAATATCAATGCTATTAGAGCTGCTTCAGAGAAAGGTATATGGGTTTTCTTACCAGTTAAGCATGATAGATAAAGCTGAATGTAGTCTTTCCAGAAGCAACGCTTTACTCAGCTCAGCTTTCACTGAAACATTTCCCACTGCAACTAAGTTATCACTTGATGGTTCATCTTATAGGTGTTAAAAGATTTGTTTACATCTCTGCTGCTGATTTCGGCTTGGCTAACTACATACTGCGAGGATATTATGAGGGAAAGGTATGATTTCATAGTTGGTGTATGGGTTCTGAATTTTGCTCAGTATAACTCTTTTTTAATATTGTTTTCCCGGAGTAAGGTTTTCTTCAATAGCGTTTCTCATTCTCTCTCTTGGTTGATTTGCTTAAAATTCTGACACGCATGGTCATTGCGCCCTTGATACAGAAAGCTGCTGAGGCAGAATTACTTGCGAAGTTTCCATATGGAGGTAAATTCATGTTTGCAGCTTATTATCCTTTTCTAATTTTGGTGTCTGGATCAGAAGACCAATATCTGTATCTCCATCTTTTGAAGAGCTTTTTTTTAATTCTCTGTAAACAAATTAACTCTTCCAATTTCCTTTACAGGAATAATTCTGCGACCAGGCTTTATCTATGGGACTCGTGGTGTTGGAAGTCTGAAGTTGCCTCTTGGTGTGATTGGTTCGCCTATGGAGATGGTAACTTGTTTATGCTTCCATGGATATATGCCTGATTTTTTGCCATCTTGTAAACCAAACACGAATCTAGTCTTGTGGTGCTTGACAATTGACATCCAGTGTATATTCTGCCAATTGACATGGACTCCAGTTTTTAGTACGCTTCATTCCTTTAGCATTCGATTTTTGAACAGTGATGAATGACGTGCTCTATTGCACTGCACCTCAGGTTCTTCAACATGCAAAGCCGCTAAACCAGCTTCCATTGATTGGACCTCTGTTCACACCTCCTGTGGATGTGAATGCGGTGGCCAGGGTGGCATTGAGGGCGGCAACCGATCCAGTCTTCCCACCGGGGATCATAGATGTTTATGGGATCCAGCGTTACAGACAATGAATGTGAAGATTAGAAACGTTAGCTCTCTATACTCGCTGTTCTCTTTCATTCATAGTTACTCTCCTTTGTGAACAGTTGAAACTGTAGAGCTGCTGGCCATGGAACCTTTTTCCATATAGGCTGGTAAGCAGGAAGTTCCCTACTATGGTCGGAAGAAAATGACGAGGAATAAGTTCGTCGAGAATTAGTATAGAAACTGTTACTGTTCTGGTGACAGAGATGAGCAGAAGATTTATGTACCGGGGGTGTGGTAATCTTAACTTCAATAACCTACCATGAACCGACTTTACACAAGAAACTATGTGAATATACATGTAGTAATACTTTTACCAGGACGGTTTTGTTTCGTCATCATACGATCTTTCTTGGTGTCTCATAATTTCATCATTAGTGTTAGCATCAGCAATGTGTGCTTCTATTGGAATTCGGATGCGAATCTATGTTCATCGCACCTGTCTAAGCTACCGTGTTGTCATGCAACTCCGACGAAGCTTCTATCAGCGTAGTAGGTTTGTGGGTTGAATCCACAGAGATTCTATCAGCGGAGTAGGCGATTGAGGAGAATCCATGGAAAAGTCCATGCGAACAGAAAACGCGGAGGGAGTCATCGCATTCATGTTGGCAAGATGAACTTCAGTACCAACCCTGTCGTCCCTGGAAGTATGGCACGTGGGATTTATCTTGTAGCAGATCGTGAACGGATTCAGAATTCTTCTCCAGAAGGAAGGGTTTGATTGCGAATCGTCTTCTTCGGCCGGCACCGGAAGCTTCCTATGCTTGTAAATGGACACGGCGGCAAAAATACAGAGTGCTGAAACTGTAGCCACTACTCCAGCGATCAGAAACAGGCACCAGAAGCTTTCTAGCCCAAGCTGGTTCTCTGAAGAAACCGAGGTACTATATTCCTCCAGCCACCTCCTCCTCTTCTTCCCATTTCTTGCTTCTTCTATTTTGGCCATCTTATCTCCCTCAGCTACGTTCAGGACTGCTCTTGAAATGTCTGGAACTAGTGGGGAGCCTTTGGGGAAGACCTGCAAGCATGTCATCAAGAAATTTACTTACACATGTACGGTGATCGCCATTAATATCTAATGAATGTTCGACAATGTATGCAGGGCAAAGCTCACAAAGCCAAAGCCGCCAGTTTTATAAGTCGGGTTGATCATTGTGTACTTGGGACTGTGCTTGGCCAGGAACAGCTTCATGTATGGAACTTCATCGAAGGCCGCTGCAATTTTCCCCTGGCCGAAAAGCGAGTCACATTCGTCCAAGTTATGGTAAGGGACGAGCCTGTCATCTCGGAACCCCAATTGTTTCAGCAGGTCGCGCACAAACGATCCGTCCTGGTACCCAACAAATTCCCCCTTCCTCAGCAGCTCGTTCATGTCTGCCGCCGTCGTTGGCTGCAGCCTTTGCATAGTTTGGAGGTTCGTGAAGCTGGCGGTGTAGCTCATCGTCATGATCAGCACCACAAAGCACCACATTATCACCACCGTCCTCGCCAGGTTGCTCGCCACGTTTTCTCCTGCAATTTGATATAACATGGTGCAGTAGTAGTGACTAGTTAAGTACCCTTTTCAATGTCTGTAGCATACCCTTTTCTAACAGTTACTTAAACTTACTGTGAGCGAAGACCATGGCGGAGAAGGAGAACCAGATGCCAGCTTTGTGTGAAGGCGGCCCTCTGAAATCCTTACTGATCATCCTGTGCTCGAATACCCACACCACGAACCCAATAAAGAGGAAGAGGAAGAACACGGTGACCCAAACATTCCACGTCAGTGGCTTCAAGAACAACCACGGATTCTTGCTTCCATTTGGCTTCGCCGGCACCACCATCGACACTCCTGATTCTGTGTACGGCAGCGCGAAGTCGACGTACTTTGACCTATCGGCGATGATGGTGATATCTCCGACCACCGCGTCGAAGTTCTGCGCTCATGCATGCAACAAAAGTACGGTAATTACTAATTAGTCTGGCATCAGGGGATTACTCATATTGTCGGATACGATTAGTTAATTAGCTTATTACTTGTGTACTTACTTACTTACCCCTAAAAAGACCTGATAGACAAGGTCGCCGTAAGTCCCGGCGAAAGGCACATACTCAAAGGGAAGCGCATAGGGCAGCGCCAGGACGACGGCTTCGAAGACATCAATGGAGTAGCCAGTCACGCTCGTCTTGTTGGTTTCGGGATCTGTAGTCACAGAAACAAACTCGCTGAATCCGTCTCTCATGGGGACGCCGATCCTCAGCTTCTTCCCTCTCGTCGTGATCCCGGACTCTTTCGGAGCCATTGCCCGATCCCCCGGCCATATCATCGGCCCCAGGATTTCCCTCAACGGCGAGCTTGTTACCCACGTCGACGAGTTCATCAGTTCTTTAACCAGCATCTCGCCAGATGTCCAAAACGCAGCAACTCTAGCTCCGTTCCCATGTACATTCACAACCTCATTAGACGAGTGGAAAATGGAGCTACGGTAAGGGACGCAGGCGTCGACGGCTTCGATGCTGTCGACTAAGGAAGGGACAATGCATTGGCCGAAGGCGTTGTCGATCGGGATGCTTTGTTGCCGGTCGACGGATTTGGCTATGGCGGTGGCTTGAGTCGAGTCATTTTGAGTGGCGCGGAAGAAGTATGGGCTGCCGATGGAAGCGACAGTTGGGCTTGATTCGGAGAATGAAGTGATGTGAACTTGGGCTTTTTCTCGCACTGCGATCATGCAATTGGCCTCTATTGACGTTTCTGGGCCCAGGATTGCTTGGACTTGCACGTTATTTGGTGCTGCCGCGTGTTCGTTGCAATAGGAAGGTTAGAAAATCCGAGAGAATATAAATTATTAAGATGAGGAATTTTCATTTTTGTTCATATTTCGTAGCAAGTTGTAAAGCATACAAACTTCTTATTATATCTATACTATTTCATACAAATTTCTTTATAGTACAAATTGAATCAATTTGTATTACTTATGATACGATATAAGTTAGAATTGTACCATAACATAACAATCCAAATTTTCTAGTGATATAACTCAAACTTAGTAGAATTGCTAGAATTGCTATTTAGGATATTGGTTATTCTACTCCACCATTTCTTTGTACTTTTACAATAAAGAGAGCAGACCGTTGCATATTTAAACCATAGTTAGTAAAGTATGGCATTCATTTCAATCAGAAGTAGTTTATTATATGGTTTAAGCTTTTTTTTTATGGCTAGTAGAAACTAGAAATGCTGTTTATTCCTAGATTGGAAAAAGTCCAGTGGGTGGCGACTAAGTCAAGTCGTCGCTTGCACCTGCCGACTACGATCCGCTAAATATATATTTTTTTTTGAGGAACCAATTTGCCGATTAAAAAAAATCAGAATCCTCAACACCTTCGATAGAAGTTCTATCGCTGAAGGCAATTAGAACAAGATTGGGGGAATGATCGATCAAGGAACTTCTAACTACAACTAGCTAATCGAAACTTGAACATTTTTGGCGGTCGAATTTCATTGAGGAATAACCACAAACACCTAGAGCGCAAGAGCGGAAGCAAAGAAAAAAAACGAAAATCGAAATGGGGGAACAAGTAGTACGCACGTACGGACCTGAAGCAGCGGCTTGAACAACCTCGACTCTGCGGGAATCCCTGGTGTTGATCAGGAGGCGGGCGGTGTAGTTCGGCTGCCAACCGTAGGGATCGGAAATCGCCATTTCCACGCAGCTCGGCTCCACCTGTCGGACAACATCGGCTCTGTTGAAGTCGAGAAAGTTGGCGACGTTCACCCCCACCGTCGCGTTATTACTGCTACTCTGCCCCGGCACCGGCGTAATATCAATGATCGCGGCATAATAAACGGTAGCGAAGAACATGAAAACGAAGATTCTTGACCACCCGGCCGGATTCCGCCGACTGCGGTGGCCAATTTCCGGCGACATCGTTTGGGAATGGGCGGTCTAAATATTGGCAGGGAGCAAGGCAGCAAAACTTCGACTGAGGCCTTTTTTTTTTCTTCTTCTTTTGTTTGTTTGAGAGAGGTGAGTTGTTTCTTTATACAAAATAGTCTAACTCGAGAGCATGGTAGGCCCCAACAACATTGTTAAAACCATCGGGGGGGAAATAATATTAAAGTGTTTTACATTTTATTGAGTATAAATGTATAATCGAACTGATTAAAAAAATATAATTCATTAAAAATTAAGAGAATACTGAAAAGAAAAGAGAGAAATTGAATTAAGAAACGAGTCGTCGTGCCTATAATTACGAGTAGAGGTGGTAATTGGATCGGATTCATGGATTCGTGGATTGGATTGGTGGATCCATGGATCAAATTAGGGATGGCAATGGGTCGGGTCGGAGACGGATAGTGCATATCCGTTACCTACCCAAAGTAGTTCGGATTTTACCCTACCCATACCCACATGTGAAGCAGGTAGAAAATTAAAACCATGCCCATACCCGTTCGGGTTTCGGGTACCCACGGTTATCCATGAGTAATAATTTCTCTTCATAACTCCAACAAATATGTTATCATTCATACGTATTCTCACATGACTTAAGAGGAAAGTACGACAATAGTTCACTAGAATGAACAAAATTAATTAAAAAACACAATTTCAAGAAAATATTGTATTTATATGCTAAATATAAAATATTTTTAGAGAAAAATAATGATTATTTATAGACAAAATACATATGCATTTGTATAATCGGGCGGGTTCGGGTTGGATAGTGAGAAACCCATGCCTACCCATTACCCGCAATATTCGGGTTCGGGTTTTACCCGTACCCATAAATGTCCTTCGGGTTCGGGTTTTACCCTACCCGATTAGGCTGGATTCGGGCGGATATCCACGGTTACGGATATTTTTGCTATCCCTAGATCAAATGGATTTGATCCAATGGATTGGTGGATTCATGGATTGGATCAAATGAATTGGTGGATTGATTCATGAATCCAAATGACATCTAAGGCTTGGACCAAAATGTAAAATTTGAAAAGTTTTGGTACTAAAATGTCATAACGAAAAATTTTAGGTACCAAAATATAATTTTCCAATGATATTTTTCGTATAAAAATATAAATTTTAGGTACCAAAATGTAAAATATAAAAATATATAGGTACCAAATTGTAATTTGCCATTTGGATCCATGGATTGATCCACGAATCCACCAATTCAATTGAATTTGGATCAAATGGATTGGATTTAAATGGATTGGATTAGATGGATGAATTGGATTGAATTCATGGATTTTGATCCTAATTGCCACCTCTATTTACGAGTTAGGAGAGTTTCATGGAAGTTTCACCAATGCGTTGAAGAATACTTAAGCTGCTAATTAATCAATCCCATCGCCATCGGTATTTGGTGATGTAATAATAAGAACTGTTATATATTCTGTTGCCGCTTAACCAGCTTTCCGTAATCGGACCTCCGTTCAAACCACTTATCCAGTTTTTTGTGAGGAACCATATATGTTTATGGGATCCAGCATTCTGTATACGGAATGTTCTCTTCCATTCTTTAGTTAATCTCTGCTTCCATTGTCAACTGACAACTGTTGCAGCTGGGGAGCTGCTGGTCAAGGCTGTTCAAGATAGAGTGAGTAACCTTCGAGTGAGTAATAATGAGTAACCAAATTTGGACCATTCTTTTAAGTGACTGCAGATTTTAAGGGTGGAGAATTAAAAAAATTTATTTTCCCTAGTTTTCTTAATTGGATCATATCTTCTTCATTCTAACTCGGATTTCAATTTTTTTTGCACAGATGGAACAAGTTCGTTGTGCTCTACAAAATGATATCCATTTTCAATATTTTTTGAGAAAAAAATTTTCATCCCTCTCGTTACCAACTCCATACCACATAATATCTCCTTTGTTGTTTAGTCATTTTCGGAAATTTTTGCACAAAAGGAACGATTTAATCATGATCTATTGGATTTCAAAATTTTCTGGGGGAAAAAATTTCAAACCTCTAATTACCAACTCCATACCATACTATACCACCCTGGTATATGAGGTGGTATTTTTCATACCATATGGTATGTTGTTATTTAATAGGATTAATACCTTAGTTTGGCCCGAACTATAGACAAACTTTCTACTTTGACCCGTGATATCGGAAATTGCTATTCTGGCCTAAACTATGTAGCATACTTTCTTATTTGGCCCGGAGGCGGGTTTGACCGTCAAATTAGACGGTCAACTCGGTTGACCGTTAGTCAAAGTCCACCTCACTTGCCACTTCATCTATCAAGGAATAAAAATTTATTATTTTTTTGAATTTTTGAGTTTTGTTTATTTTCTAAAATTAAATAAAAATAATTTGGGGAGCTTTTTTAATTAATTTTTTTCGTTTATTATTTTTATTATTAGAAAGTAAAAAAAAAAATCAAAATACAAAATTAATTTTTTATTCCCTAATAGCCGATGTGGCAAGTGAGCTGGACCTTGACTAACGATCAACTCGGTTGACCGTCTAATTTGACGGTCAAACCCACCTCCGGGCCAAATAAGAAAGTATGCTACATAGTTTAGGCCAGAATAGCAATTTCCGATATCACGGGTCAAAGTAGAAAGTTTGTCTATAGTTCGGGCCAAACTAAGGTATTAATCCTATTAAATAACAACATACCATATGGTATGAAAAATACCACCTCATATACCAGGGTGGTAGGCGCTCGGCTCCTGACTTGCGCCTTGTCTGATTAGGCGTAGCCTAGGCGCGCCTAGGCGTTCAGAGCATAAATGGAAAAAGTTCTCAAATATTTCCTGTTTTCTGGAATAATTCATATAATCCAAGTGCATATAAAATTAGCAATGCCTAGTTCTTAACAGTAAACACTTAACATAACAAATAACAAGCAAATAGCGACCACTTACTATAATCACAAGTTCATAAAATATCGAAATACTAAACAATAGTCAATAAGTTCATAGGAAAATGTCCATTCTTCATCATCCAAGTAGGTCCGTCCGTCCAGCCACCACTTCATCTTCATCATCCTCAAAAGCAATCTCCTCACCATCCTCCTCCTCTTCCTCCTCTTCAGACTCTAATTTTTCATCATGGAGCTCTCTCACTCGTGCACTCCTGCGAAGCTCACTCTGTTCACCCGCCATTGCATCTGTAACAGTACTCGAGGGTGCACAATATGATTCCTCATCCTCATCTACGAATACATACATAGCATAGTCATCTCCTTCCCGTGTTTCTAATTTTCTAGGGCAAGAGGCAATTTTCTGATTTTCTAGGACAAAACGAAGAGTATTGGGTGTAACCGCCTAAGCTAGCCCATGAACGCCCAGGCACGCCTTCTCTCCACTAGGCGCAAACTAAGCGTTATTCCTACCTACTAAGCGCTACCAGCGCCTTTTACAACGCCTTTGGCCAAGTCAAGGTGATCCTCCACCGCCTAGCGCCTAATTGAGCCTAGGCGTGCGCCCAGGCGTGCCTTCTTGAACCCTGACTGCGCCATGACAAAGTCCTTGATGGTTAGTATGCAGGTACCCCCAAGTTTAGTAGGCCCCGCTGTCACTCATGTTGCATGTGGGTTGCTGATGTTCCTGGGTTATCAAATTATCATTTCTCTCTCTAACTTAAGCATCATAGAATGTCCCAGACAATCGCTTGCAGACCTTTTTGCAGGATCAAGGAGACCGCCTCCCACCTTAGGAACACAAGCTCCACTCTCCTCTCACAATCCTCCTGGAACTTCCCTTGCACAAAGAGATATCATATCATAAACCATTTTATTTGAATACGAGTTATCGAGACTCATGTATGAACGCTAACCACTTTGTTACATGCATTCATGTTTTACAAGAATAGTTTTGACACTAAACCACATTTCATGATCTCCTAATGTCTCGTAATTTCATCATTAGCAGTAGCAACGAGTCCTTCTCCGTCGGAATCTGGATGCAAATCAATGCTTATTATTGCAACTTCCTGAGCAATTGTGTTGTCATGCAACTCTGACGAAGATCCCATTGACGGAGAAAGCGTTTGGGTTGAATCCACGGGAAACTCTGTATGAACCGAATACACAGAAGGGCTCATCACATTCAAACTGGCTAGACGAACTTCGTTCTGGTCACCAACTCTGTCACCCCTGAAAGTGTGACATTCGAGGTCCTTATTGTCGAAGGTCTTCAACAGATTCAGAAGCCTTCCCCAAAATGAAGGCTTTGATTGCGAATCGTCATCTACTTGGGGCGACATCAGCTTCCTATATTCGTAAACAAACTGGACAGTGAAAATGCAGAGCGCTAAAACTGCAGCCACTCCAGCTATCATAAATAGGCTCCAGAAGCTGTTTAGCCCGAGTTGTCCCCCTGAAGAAACAGTAGAAGTAGTAGATTCCGGGCACCTGTCTTTCTTGCCAAACCATGCTTCTTCGATTTTCGTCATCTTGTCTCCCTCAGTTACGTTCAGGATGGCCCTAGATATGTCTACAACAAGCGGAGAACCTTTCGGGAACACCTGTAAACAATGCAGTTAAAATCATGATTCTATACCTGTAGAAGCGTTTTGGTGAACTAGAAGCGTAAAAATGTAAGTTTTTAACTTAAAGTGTAGATTTTGACTACAATTGTAAGTAAAAAATGAGATTCTAAATAGAAGCATTTTGATGATATAAAAGTGTAAACAGTAAGTTTTTTAAGTTTAAAACTCACAAAGCCAAAGCCGTCGGCTTTATAAGTGGGGTCGGTCATCATGTACTTGGAGCAGTGCTTAGCCAAGAAGAGTTTGATGTAGGGCACTTCATCGAACGCCGCAACGATCTTCCCTTGGTTGAAGAGACTATTACAATGCTCTGAGTTTTTATATGGCACAAGCCTGTCATCTCGGAACCCTAACCGTTTCAGTAGGCCGAACACAAACGAGACATCCTGGTAGCCAACAAAATCTCCCTTCCTCAGCAGCTCGTTCATGTCTGCCGCCGTGGGTTGCAGTCGTTGCACCGTTAGCAGGCTCGTGAAGCTCGCCGTGTAACTCTGCGTTATGATCAGCACCACGAGGCACCATATTATCACCACTGTTCTCGCTAGGTTGCTCACCACGTTTTCTCCTGCACACACATGAACAACCGAATTGATGGGGAGCCAATGTATAGTCAAAATCGCGCTTTAAAACATAAAATTTTACGTTTTTACATTTTGGCTCACCAAAACGTTTTTTTTTTCCTGCATAGAATCATGTTTTTCACTTACAAGTATAGTCAAAACCTATGCTTTAAATCTTAAAAACTTACGTTTTTTACACTTTTAGGTCATCAAAATACTTTCACATAGAATCGCAATTTTGATTGCATTGATGAGAGTAAAACGCAAAGACAGTCAGATTTATTCAAACAATACTTTCAACTTACTGTGAGCGAAGACCATGGTGGAGAAGGAGAACCAGAGGCTGGTCCCAACTTGATGTGAAGGCGGGCCTCTGAAGTCCTTACTGATCCTGTGCTCCAATGCCCACACCACGAACCCAATAAAGAGGAAGAACAAGAACGTCGTCACCCATAGATCCCACGTCAACGGTTTCAAGAACGACCATGCGTTCTTGCTTCCGTTCGGTTTCACCGGCACCAACATCGACACTCCGGATTCTGTGTATGGCAACGTGAAGTCAACGTAATTTGACCTGTTGGCGATGATGGTGGTATCAGCGATCATGGATTCAAAGTTCTGCTCCCATGCACGCAACAAACAAATGGTAATTAGATCTGGGAATGGGTAGGGTTAAAATTGGGCCAAATTAGTCCTCCATCCTTTAAGAATCCTGTCTGGTTCGTCTCTATAAAGTGAATTTATAAAACTGGCTCGTCTCGCCTATATTTCTTTCTTGACCCTATCCGACCCTCTAGCATTGGGTCGGGTCGGGTCGAGTCAGCTGGTCGACTCAAATCCATCAACACAATATGATTATTTTAAAATTACCTTTGCATGGTACACGAATATTTTTTTTTTTTTTTACAAATGGGTCCAAATTTTTTGATCACTTACCCCTAAGAAGACCTGATAAACAAGGTCGTCGTACCGGCGCTCTCCCCGTTAGGTTTCGCATAAGGCACGTACTCGAAGGGAAGCGCATACGGCAGCGTTTGGACGACGGCTTCGAAGATATCGATGGAGTAGCCAATCACGCTCGTCTTGTTGGTTTCGAGATCTGTAGTCAGCAGTTTTCTCCACCGCCATTGCCAGTGCCACCGTGGCATCGTTGGCCCACAAACCATAACTGTTGAGGTCGGCGTCGAGGAGGATCTCCGGATGGTCTTGCCGAAACTTCCTCTTCCAACGTGCCCTAAAGTCAATGACCTCCTTGGTTTGTGGCACGTGCGGTTTGACCCCCAGGACGCCTTGCATGGATTTGAGAACGGACGGGTCAACGGAAGTCAAGAAGTCGGTGATCCCGTCGGTCACGATCCACACATAACCTGCTGACATCATCCCCACTTCTTTTGGCCTTGGCAAACAACCTGGTGTTCGGGAATATGAGCGGTATGAGTTAAAACTTATGAGTGAAATACCGATACAGTTAAAAGCGCAACTCTATCTGGAATTGCTTTGTTGAGCTACAAGCATAAAATTGTGATAAAGGAAAAGTGCGATTCTACAATAAGCGCGTTTTGGTGATCATCCGTACGATAAAAAACATAAATATTTAAGGTTTAAAGCGTAATTTTGACTGCGTTGATTGTACATGTTGTGAGACACGTTATTTATACTTATACCGCAACAATTTACCTGGCGGCGAGATGGGGAGACACGTGGGCGACGAAGACGCGAGTCTGCATGGTCATGAGCTTGTAGAGCTCTTGACCGATCTGATCGTCGGTGGCGGAAGGGGAAATGGCGCTGCGGTAAGCCGAAGGCCTTGACTATGGCGGCGATGGCGTTGACTTGGGTGGAGTCCTTTTGTGTAGCGCGGAAGAAGTATGGGCTGCGAATGGAAGCGAGGGTTGGGCTTGATGCGGAGAAGGAGATGATGGGGACTTGGGCTTTTTCTCCTAAGGGGATGAGGAAGTTAGCCTGCATTGATGTTTCTGGGCCGAGGATTGCTTGGACTTGCACGTTCTTTATCAAATCCAGGGCTGCCACGTTGTTAGCGGATGAAAGTTTTAGTGAATGAGAAGGGATAACGACAATTTACTTGCGTTCCTAGATTAACAAATACTCATATTTAGATACAATATTCAACGTTAAAATGACATCAACATTTAATTTCTAAATTCATAAAATACCTAACAAATTAATTTTTTTATTAATTAAATTCACTAAAATTACGTTATTTTGCTTAGCCTTCCTAAATTCATCATGCTCATAATACCGGTGGTGTTCATGCCTGTATCATGATCGATAAGGGCTCTACCAGGTTCAACCGACCGACATTCTACTAGCGTTACAATACCGTGCAAGAAAGATAAGGAATAGGGATGATAATTGACTACGAACTTTTGGATATTCATTCCGATTCGTAAAATTTGGAGTTGACATGTTTTGGGTTCAGTCCGGGTTTATACACTTTTGAAATTAGTGAGTCGAGCTGGGTGTGAATTTTGTTAAAAAATATCCCGCATTCCACCAAACTTGCAGAGTAAAAAGATGTTTGTATCTAACCTTTACTAACATGAATAATTTTGTGGATGTTATTATTCCTTATGAATGTTATTACTTATTAGTCTTGTGAAGATATATTTGTAGGAATTTTTTTCACAGTATACTATGTGGTTATTTGAATAAATTATTTGCGGTTATATCCATGAACTCATAGGTATCCATACGCACCCATGGATAACCACATTGCGTTGGATTTTGTTTTCTCTTCTAAAACTCGGTGAGTATTTTACCGGTATTTTTTTATGGGTACACCCACTGGATTAGGATACATGTTAATTCTATTCAATATTTCCTTTTTCTTTTATAAAAAAAATTGTCTATAATCGCGCCTTGTTTTATTTGTATAAAATCCAAAATTAGTACCTAATTAGTATATTCTCCATTCACCAGAAAGTGAAATTTCAACAACCTATAGTACTAATTAAGATAGGTTGGTGATCCTGTATTATTCATTTATTTTCACAATTATATATTGTTAATGTTTAATGAAACCATATAGTGTTGTTTGAAGGGTTGACTATTTAATAACGAAGCGGACATTTTGGAATTAGTCATTGAGATCTATTAATAATGGGGGCGATGGCAGGGAAAGTCAACCAACCGAATGCAGAAAGCTAGAAACTTATCTGTTATCTCGTGGATCGAATTTTTCATTGAGGCATTACAACAAACACCTAGTGCGCGCGCAAGAACACAAAACCAAAGAAGTGCTGCTGCTAGTTTACCTGAGGCGGCGGCCAGAACAACGTCTCGTTGTGAATCCCTGGTGGCGATGGCGAGGCGGGTGGTGTAGTCCGGGTGCGAATCGTAGAATTCGGACACCGCCATTTCCACGCAGCTCAGGCCCACCTGCCCGACAAAGTCGGTTCGGTTCAAGTCGAGAATCACCCCGATGGTCACCACCACCGTCGCGTTATTACTGCTACTACCGGTACTCTGCCCCTCCACCGCCGTCATATTACTGATGACGGCGGCGCAACAGACAGCCGTGATGCAGAAGCGTAACCAGCATTGATTCCGGGGACCGCGGCGGCGGCAAATTCTCGGTTTCATTGTACGGGCGGGAGATTTGGGAATCGGCGCTTAAACAGGGCAGGGAACAGGGGAAACAAAAACTACTGAGATCTCTCTTGCTTGCTGCTGTAGGGAAGTTGAGTTGTTTATTTATAGAGAAACAAGTTTGAGAGAGCAAATGCGTACAGTAGGTGGCTTGTTACGGAAGCTATATTTGCATTAAGATAAAAAGGAGTCGACGTCATGAATTGAGGAGCAGTACTTTCAGGGAAGTTTCGAAAGACAATGAAGGAAAATGTCCTTTTAATCACAAGAAATTCTCTGTTTAAAAGCTTACGTGTTATAGATTTTAGTTACTAAGAAAATAATGTAAGACTTTTGTGATTGATAGTAAAGGCCGTGGAGAATATATACCATGACTAGTTATAACTAGTTACGGTGTTTTTTTCTCATGATTATTCGTTCAGACTAATTGAGAAAACATCTGGGGTGTGGTATATTACTTAAATTACTCTATCATTTTCCCCCTTGCTAAGTTGGGATAAGATTAAAGTGAGTCTATCTTGATTAGGAATCATGTTCAATTTGTCGATCGAAATTGTTTTATATGAAAAAATAAATAACAAGAGAGAAATAAAGGTAAAAAGCTAAATTTATTTTCTGACACCGCAAATCTAATTCATCATCAAATCCAACAACAAACAATAGTTTTTTTTTCAAATCCATAATAAACCAGATCCATCATATATCCAAGATTTTCAGAAATCCAGGTTTTAACCAAAATTACAAGCAAACGCCACCTTATCGTCACCAACTCCGTCTTGGTCCCTGAAAGTATGACATTTGAGGTCCTTCTTGTGAAAGATCTTCAACAGATACAAAAACTCTTCTCCAAACGGAAGCAGGCTTTGATAGTGCACCGACCGCATCTTCTTGGGCCATTAACATCTTCCTGGGCTCGTAAACAAACTTGACCGTGAAAATACAGAGTGCTGAAAGCCTGAAACTGCAACGACTCCAGCAATCAGAAACAGGCTCCAGAAGCTGTTTAGCCCAACCTGGTGACTCGCTATGACACAACTCCTAACAATGACCAAGTGTAACCAATGAAAGTAACTGCAGTATAGTGGCTCAAGTAATAAATATCGAATTCACGGGTCTCTAGAGTTACTATTACTCAGCTTCAGTTCATTATCTAGCAAACCAGATTAAGATGAAAGAATCAAAACTACTCTAGCAAACTACAATTAAAGTTAATCTAATTACAGGTTGGGAACTCACTTAGGTATGATTCCCCCTAGCCACTAGCCGGATTAATGATTGATGATCTCTAACTTGTTACTCTTTCATTCACAATGCGGAGAATCCTTAACTAGACCTTGAGTCTCGACTAAAGGAACAAGGCCCTCTTGAGTCAATTGCCTAGAGGGACGTATCCTTCTCTAGAACAACCGATCAAGGCGTTCTGAACTAGACTCCCTCTATCGAAAGAGGTTCTCAATCGATACAAAGCAGTGAATCAATCCTCGACTAAAGCAATCGATCCAATACTATCAATCTATGGTGCTCTATTGACCTAATCAGGTATTCGCTCTCATAGGATCAAAGAAGAATCAATAATCTCGACTAAAGCATAATTGAATCATGAAAACATGCATAGATTGAATATGAACTCAAGATTATCAAGTCAGAGTACTCATACAATCATCCAATCAAACAAACATAGCTAGGGTTCCTCAAAACCTAAGTGAAGGGAAGTTACTCTATAGAGAAGAGAGAGACTGCAGTAAGAATCTTCAGATGATCAATCTTCAAGTCCGGCTTGTTCCTCAAGCTTCCAAGGCGAAGAAATCCTCCAATTCCACTCTTAGAATGCCCTCAAATCGCCCTCTCTTTCTTTGGTTCGTCCCTTGGGTGTTTGGGATCCAAAACCCAGCTCTCCCTTGCAAAAACGCACAAAACAGGCTTTTAACAGCCTGCGTTCTCGATCCCCGATCAGAATACCCGGTCGGGTATTTAGGGAACCGGTCGGGTATCAACAAAATGCTCCGGGTCACTATTCTGGGCAAAAGGGAAAATACCCGGTCGGGTATTTTTAGTACCGGTCGGGTATTTTTGGTTCACGACCGGGGGGCCTTCTGATGCTGCCAAAAATCCCCTATCAAATGGCCAAAAATACCCGGTAGGGTATTATGGTCGGGTATTTTGCAGTTTCGGGTCCCCTATCTTTGATTCTTCGTTTCTCCCACGTTCGGACTCCAAATCAGGTGTCGTTTGATCCCAGACGCTCGTAGTCTCGTCCTCTTTCTTTTCATGACAAGATTACATGATTATATGGTCACAAACTGAGGTAGAAATCCATTCTTCTTCAAGTCATACCCGAGTTTCTCCCCCCGAGTCGCCAATTGATCTCTGATTGACTTGAAACTTGCGCCTACGCTTCACTTTATGTGCTAGGACCTGAAATGTGACAAAGGAACACAACCTAGCGTAAAATAGGCCAAAGAAGCGATAATGCAAGCTTAAATGATCAAGAAACAAAGGGGAAAACATGTGCAAATATCGAGTCATCACCTGGCACCCCGAAGCAACCGAGGCACTAGATTCTGAGCATTTGATGTTTTTGCCAAACCAAGCTTCTTCAATTTTGGCCATCTTAATTATCTCCTTCGGTAACGTTTAGCACCGCAATTGAAATGTCTCGAACCAGTAGGGAAGACCTGGACATGCCATCAAGAAAACTATTTACATGCATGTTGTGATGAGGGTTGTTAAAAAAACACGAGGAACCACACAAATTTACGTGATATTCACAACAATTGTCTTGGGACTAGATGTGATAATTTATAATCCAATCTTTTCAATTAAATATCCAACTAATCAAGTTCATTTAAATTCAAATTCAATTTGATTGATGAGTTCATGGACTATTGGCAAATTACACTTTAGTACATATACTTTTAGAACTTTAAAATTTGATACCTAAAATTATGTTTTTATACAAAGTCATATGGTGAATTGATCGATCCACCAATTCATATGGTCCAATCCATCATTTCCTTTGATCTAAAGATCCAATCTATTTGCAACCTCTAGTTGAGACTAATCCACGACACTCAATTTTATGACGTAAAATCCTTAAATTCTGAATTTTGTTCCTCCGCAAATTGTTCTTCGCCATTATGTGAAAGTATGAGGTGTTCAAGTCCCCCACCTTCAACCATAACTCCCGTGATTTCTGCCTCCAGATAATCTCCTCCTTAAGCAGAGTTTTTTCTAACTCACACTTAAGGAGGGTCCTTTCTATGAGTAAGGAGTCAGCTAAGGGTCCCTGTTCATCAAGCTTATCAATTTCTTTGAGTTTAAACAGCAAGCCTGAAACTTTCTCATTCGTTTCTGCCGAATTTCTCTATATTCCAGCCTTTAACCATAAACTTTGTGTTTCTCAATCGCTTACCAAAGAGGTAGAGACACCCAAAACCGGTTTTTGGCAGGTTCCACCATTCTTCTGGTAGCAGTACTTGTCCTCTGAATGGCCAAGTTTCCTGCAGTGGGTGCATTCAACTAGTCTTCCAATAGGAGTGACTCCCCTAGGGTTCATGCCTGGTGGCCACCCATGTTTGTGGTAGCAAACATACTCAGTATGCCCTAGTGCCTTACAGTGAGTGCAAAAGGGCCTAGTTCTTCTATTTGCTGGGATGTTGCTATGGGAAATCAAGGTTGTGCTTTCAGCAGCAAGAGCCTTTGCCTGATAGCTCCCACATTGTTGCCTCTCATGTTGGAGCATTCTCTAGAAGACCCTATCAATGGAGGGGAGAGTTTCCTAGAACAGAATCTGAGATTTGGATGTGCTATAGTTTTCATTAAGTTCCCTGAGGAACTGAATAATATAACCCGTGTCCCTGTAACCTATGACCTATCTCATAGCCCTACAGGTGGAGTGGTTGGTGGGTATGCAGTCATAATGACCATCCCTGGTTGTTAAGAGCCGTGGAGGTAGTATATATGGATCAGACATTGGATCCACAACATTGTTGGTAGCTACAGTGTTTGTCGCTGCTGCTACATTTGTTCCACTAGTACTGGTAGTTCCATCAACCATGGTTGTGACGACACCTAGGGTTCAAGGGAATCAGGCTCTAATACCATAACAATACTTTTGTTATGGAAACCCTAAAACCTACTTCATCTCATTTCAGTCTCAACTTATATAGCTGGATCAAGTGGTCCAAAGATGGTTAAAGAAGTGTAGAAGAAGACAAGCTTGCGAGGTTGACTTGGTGAAACGTCATCGTTGCGAGGTTGACTCCCTTGGCTTGCCGAAGCGGTGTCGTCGCTGCGAAGGCGAGGTGGAGAAGAATTCAAATGTCTTGAATTCTTCTCTAATAGCTAGCATTCATTTTCGCTCAAAATATTCTGGGTCATGACGTAGTATATGCAATCGATCGGCAGGAGATAGGGTCAGTAACCATTTGGTTACTGACAGGTCAGTAATAAATAGTGACCGTAGATCTAGGAAGTAGGCAATCGTGTGGTTGGGCCGGACGCTAAGTGGAGAAGGGTATTTTTGTCCGTTTATACATTAAATTTTTTATTTTATTTTATTCCGTATTAAATGGCTGCATTTTCAAAAAAGGAAAGAGAAACCATTATTTCTCTGCAACTCTCATTTATCTTTCTCTCTTCCTTCTCTTTTACTTTTTCTCTCCCAATCTTTTTTCCAGATCCTCTCTCTTCCTTTTATTCTCTCAATCTTCTTTTGAGATCTAAATCTGCTCCCTTCTCTTCTTTTTTTTTTTTTTCTCCAGGACGAATAAAAATTGCAGCCACTCTCTTTCATTGCATTTCTTCTCTTCATCATCTCGTTGGCCTCAATTTCGATCTTTCTCATTTTTCGGCATTTTGGTGTTTTTGATTGTGAAAGAGGAAATGAGAGGCGACAGAAGACGATTTTTTTCTCTACCTCCTTCTGTTTTTTTTTCTTTTAGATAATATATATTGATACTATAACTCTATACCATATGGTATTCGGTGGTAACGAAATATATATTGATATTACCACACTATAACATATGGTAATGTGTGGTATTGTGTGGTAACGAATTATATATTGATAATTACCACACTATACCATATGGTATTGTATGGTATTGTGTGATATTACCACACTATACAATATGGTATTATGTGGTAACGAAATATATATTGATATTACCACACTATACCATATGGTATTGGGTGGTAATGAAATATATATTGATATTACCACACTATACCATATATTTCATTACCACCCAATACCATATGGTATTGGGTGGTAACGAAATATATATCTTGATATTACCACACTATACCATATGGTATTGGGTGGTAACTGGTAACGTAATATATATTGATGTGGCAAATATTTTCATATCATATGGTATGATCTTATTTAATACCAGTCAATACCATATGGTACAGACTGGTAATAATTGGCAAATTTTTTTATGTCCAAAAAATATCAAAGTGGATATCATTTTGAAGAGCACAATTAATCTGATCTAAATGTGCAAAAAACTTAAATTCCGACTTAAAACGAGTGTGAAATCGTCTGTTAAAGGTTAAGAGAAGGAAAATTAAAGGTTTTTCGAGGAGAGAGGAGGCGCTGATGTGGTCTGGTCAAAAGTCAGGGTTGGCAATAAATAGAGGGCAGGGGCAATTTTACTGTACTGTCATTTCACATTTAATTTAAATAAAAAAGAAACTGACACGTGGAGACAAGGGAAGGAGTTACTGATAGGTTACTGACCCATCAGTTACCGACCTGATCTGTTCCCCAATCTATTGGTCCGTCCAATACGACCGAGGTCTACTTAGTGCAACTTCTTACACGTACTGCTAGCAGCTAGTATTCGTCATCCATCTTAATCATACGATTACACATGCCCGCAGAGTACTCTCATATATATGCAATTAGCGATCAATTTTCTCCTCCCATCAAACTCCGCGTAGGTTTACTCTTAACCTGCCATCCCATCTTAATCAGTAACTTGGATGATTTGGTTCTCGAGGACGCGTAGGAAGAACTAAAAAATTGAAGAAATTTTAATAAATATACTAGTAGTCACATGTGGATGTGAATTTAGGGGTGGAAGTTTGGGTTGCGGGTTGTGGATAATCCGCAAACTGCACTAACCTGCACCTATTGTGGGTAGACATACCCACAAGTTGTGGATAGTGGGTTGGGTGTGGGTAGTAAAATAACGATTTTTGTGGTTAGTGGTTATCTACTACCCACTACGGTTACCCACAAAATCCACAATAACCACACTTATTATATTTATTTAGTGAATTAACTTTATAATATAATAGTATGTGAAAAGTGTGTGGATAAAAATTAAAGTAGTCACTAAATAAAAAAGACACGTACACCTAATAAGTTTTATGTAAGAATTTTTTATTTTATCAAACACTATAATCGATAGAGTGGAGAGTAATCAATTTATTAAAAGTGAACACTTTTTGTAACTTTTATCAGTATGTTTTTGTTTTTGTGTGAAAAAATACAAGATCATATTTAATTGTCATATTTCACCCTAGTCGGGGAAATATGAAATCACAGCTCTCTGACACAAAAGTTGAATTCCAAACTCAAAAAGAAAAAATATCCACGTTGAGTAAGATCGATGTACAAAATTGTACCTCCACGAACAACACAAGTGTATATCACTATAGTCTAGTTACGAACAACAATTACATTAGTGGCGACTAGAACTCTATTCTTGCAAAGATGGATTTTTGCGGGTAACCACACCCAACCCGCACAAACCCACAGTGGGTAGTGGTTACCCACTAACCACTGCGGTGCGGGTTGTGGATAACATAATTGTAAATTTGTGGGTGTGGGTACCCGCAAAATGTGGGACGGGTAACCACACCCACACCAATTTCCACCTTAGATGTGATTGCACAAATGTGTCCATGTCCCGCAAGATTACTGACATTTTCAGCTTAATAATTAGTACCAGAAAATCTCTTTTAAACTCTTAATACATTAAGTCCGATGGCGATGGCCAGCGTTAGGTTGATTAAGTAGGCAGCTTCATGAAGCTCAAACGCATTGCGAAACTTCCATGAAACTGCAGACTCTCGATCGTATTTCTTGCTGTGTGTTGACGAACAACAGTGACTAATTAATTTATCAATCTTCCATATATCGTACGTGTGTGGTCACATGAAATGGTTAATAATTTTCTATATAAATAAATAAACAACTCGTCATCATCATTATCAAACATAAATAAAAAGGCCTCAGTTAGTTCTATAGTCTCTTGTCTAGCTCCCTGCCCAAAAGCGCCGCCCATTTCCCAAATAATCTCTAGCCCCTACGCTACGATGGCGCCGGAAACTGGCCGCCGACGTGGGTGGTTCCGATTCTTCGTCGCGACCTTGTTCGCTGCGGCGGCGGTGGCGGGGCAGATCAGTAGCGGCACGAACAACACGACGGCGGCGGTGGCGGTGAACGTCGGGGTGATTGTGGACATGGACAGAGCCGACTTCGCCGGGCAGGTGTGGCTGAGCTGCGTGGAAATGGCGGTGTCGGAATTCTACGGTTCGCACCCGAATTACACCACCCGCGTCGTCATCACCGCCAGGGATTCCCGCAGAGACGACGTCGTTCAAGCTGCTGCTTCGGGTAATTAATTAGTAACTTTAAAATTTCTGCCATGATTCCAAATTTCGTTTTCCCCTTGGCTGCTACGTGGCTGAACCTAGGCTACACAACAACAAGAGGTTCCGCTTGACTTCTTACTTTGATTTTGACTAGTACAATATAGTCATGAACCAGTTGATCCCAATAATTCGAGTTGGGAGAGGTTCAATCGTGGATCATATACCACAACACTAACACGCTCCATCAAACGAAAGCCACTCACAAGGTCCCAATAACTCGAGTTGTTGGGATCAACTGGTTCATGACATGGTATTAGAGCTGGTTTGTTCGTGAGGTCACGTGTTCAAGTCCTCACGACCCCCAATATTAATCGTTGTCTTTCAAGCACATGGTAGGATTGGGCCTGTGCAAATTTCAAGCCCATAAGTCGGCTTTCAATCACATGTATGGTATTTAACCACTTCCTTACACGCCCCCTCAAACGAAAGCCGACTTATGGGCTTGAAGTTTGCACAGGCCCAATCCTACCATGTGCTTGAAAGACAACGATTAATATTGGGGGTCGTGAGGACTTGAACACGTGACCTCACGAACAAACCAGCTCTGATACCATGTCAAGAACCAGTTGCTCCCAATAACTCGAGTTGTTGGAAGAAGGTTATGTTAGATCTTATATAGGTTCATGTATGATACTTAACCACTTACAAATATTATCCCACTTGCCGAGCTTGAATTCTAAGAACAATAGCGACAGCATGTGATTATATCATTAATAACAATAGCGACGGACGAGTAGAGTACCATAATAACACAAAAAAGAAAATTCCACAAACAACAACAGCTTCGTACGTAAGTACATAGTAGTAGTGGCTACTGGCTAGCAGCAAACAACGACTTTGTCTCATGTATGCCAAAAACTACTGCTGAATTTAAGCCAAATAAGCAGTGATGAAGTCAATGCATATGCCAACCTAGGCTTAAGGTAAGGTATCTTTCCTATCTATGAATAAATAGCATTTCTACTAGCTATAGTATACTAGTCTATAAATGCTAAACCGCAATAAATAAATTGTTCGGGACCGAAAACTTAACTGGGTACGTACAAAATAACTTTTCATGATATATTTTTATGTGCTATTTGAATTTCGGGGCCACGATATATAGTAATTTCGAGTTGGAACTCGGGTGCATGCGATATACTTTACTATAGCTTAAGGATGACAAGTTTATATCATCTACTAGACAAAGCTTTGTATGACTAAGCATATCGTTTATAAATAACAAGGTAAGTTATATGGCATCATAAAATAAAGGATTAATACCCTAGCGAAGTTTGGCGTAAGTGTTAGTTTTGACCCAAAATTTCCAATAAAACATTTGTGACCGACTTTTCAAATTAATTGACAGATTTAACCCGAAATCTATGTTGATCGTTAAAACTAATGGTCAATAATTTTTTTCACTAGTGAGTCTGCAGCATCGTTATCACCGTAATAAATAAATTGGTCGGGACTGAAAACTCAAATAGGTAGGCACATAACAACTTTTCATAATTTTTTTTTATGTGCAACGACATATAGTAGTTTTGAGTTGGAACTTGAGTGCATACAAAACTTTTTTGTATAACCAAGTATATCGTTTCTAAATAAAAAGGTAAGTTATATTTGGCAGCATAAAACAAATCACACGTTATGACCATGGGAAAGCAGCTAATTTGATGTTCAAGAGGTGGCCGGTTTAAATGCCATCAACATCGTTATATACCAATTTCATGGTTGGTTTTGACCTTTAAGCAATTCATTCTATTCGACCAATTAACTGTTCGAACATACAGGTCAGTTCAAAGCTGACAATTAAATTCACAAGTCAAACCGGATCAAGGTTGTCAAACCGGTTTATGCCAGTGTGCCGGTTTAGAAAGTGGAATGGTTCAACCGGTGGCACATACCGGTTTGTGCCGGTTCATGCCGGTCAATATTACAAATAAAATTATAAATACTCATATTTAAACATGACATTTAACGTCAATACCTAAACATTTATACTTGAATCCAACAAATAACATCAATATTTAACTTTTATAATCATAAAGTAAATAATAAAATAATTTTTATCAATTAAATTCTCTAAAATAAGGTCATTTTACTTAGAGATTCGTATATCGATCATGCCGGTCGTACTGGTGATGTCACGCCGGTTTTATGACCGGTATCGGTTGAACCCGGTACAACCGGTGGCACGCCGGCCGGCGTGACAACCATGAACCGGATAGATGAATGATTGTCAGATTTTCAAGTCGGACCAACTAATTCGATTCGATCTGCACAACACTATTAAATCTAAAAGAATAATAATATTAATAATAAAACAACACTGCCACCAACATTGATTTCTTTTCTTATCAATACCTACCTTGAATTGCATAGATAGTTGGAATCTATTTGATGAATAATATATATATTAACTATAGTTGGAATTTTATGTTTCTTATTATTCGTATTTTGACTTTTTTCTTAAACCGGCCATATGTATATTTTCCTCTCGTGTACTACCCTCTCATCCACTGACGTCCTCCTGCAAACGCACACGTGGCAGCCCTGGATTTGATAAAGAACGTGCAGGTCCAAGCTATCCTCGGCCCAGACACATCGATGCAGGCCAACTTCCTCATCCCGCTGGGAGAAAAAGCCCACGTCCCCATCGTCTCCTTCTCCGCAACAAGCCCAACCCTCGCTTCCATCGGCAGCCCGTACTTCTTCCGCGCCACACAAAACGACTCCACCCAAGTCAACGCCGTCGCCGCCATATTCAAGGCCTTCGGCTGGCGGCAGGCCGTCCCAATCTACGTCGACGACGCCTTCGGCCAAGGCATCATCCCTTCCTTAGTCGACTCCCTCGAAGCCGTCGACGCCCGAATCCCTTACCGCAGCGCCATTTCGCCGTCCGCCACCGACGACCAAATCGGAGAGGAGCTCTACAAGCTCATGACCATGCAGACTCGCGTCTTCATAGTCCACGTGTCTCCCGATCTCGGCCCCAGGTAATTAATAATTCCGACAAAAACATTGATCACATTAATTTTACTCGATCGGTATACGCACCCTAATTCTAATTCATGCATGCATGCATGCATGCATGCAGGCTATTTGTCAAGGCCAAAGAGGTCGGGATGATGTCAGCAGGTTACGTGTGGATCATAACCGATGGGCTCACCGTCTTCCTGCCTTCCTTTCACCCTTCAGTTCTCCGCTCCATGCAAGGCGTGTTGGGAGTCAAACCGCACGTGCCACAAACACAGGCGGTTCTAAACTTCACGACACGTTGGAGGAGGAAGTTCCAGCGAGACCATCCGGAGATCCTCGATGCCAACCTCAACAGCTACGGTTTGCGGGCGTACGATGCCACGTGGGCATTGGCAATGGCGGTCGAGAAGGCTGGGGCCGCAACCTATTTCAGTTTCGAAAGCGATAAGACGAAGAAGTATATGGTCGGGGTGTCGAGAAACGGCCAGAATCTGGCTAGCGCGCTCTTGGGAACGAGCTTCCGAGGTCTCTTCGGTGGGTTTGCGTTGGAGGCCGACGGGCAGCTGAGAGCGTCGGCTTACGAGGTTGTGAACGTGAATGGGAACGCAGATAGAGTTGTTGGGTACTGGACACCACCACCAGCTGGCGAGCTGACGACGAGGAGCTCGTCGAAGGTGGCGAGCCAGCTGGGGACGGTGATATGGCCGGGGGATCCGGGTGCGGTTCCTAAAGGGTTCGAGATCCCGATGAGCGGGAAGAAGCTCAGGATCGGAGTCCCCGTGAAACCCGGCTTCAGGGAGTTCGTCTCCGTGAGTACCGATCCCGAGACCAACGAGACGACCGTGACCGGCTACTGCATGGATGTTTTCGAAGCCGTCGTCAAAACGCTGCCGTATGCGCTTCCCTTTGAGTACGTGCCTTTCGCCAAACCTAACGGTGAAAGCAACGGGAGTTACAACGACCTGGTTAATCAGGTCTTTTTAGGAGTAAGTTGTTAGCGAACTCATCCATTGGTCTCGATAATCTTTTGTGATGTACGGTGAGACTGACGACCATAAATATGCGCATGTTTGTTTCATATGCATGTGACTCTGGGAGCAGAACTTGGACGCGGTGGTCGGAGATATCACCATCATCGCCAACCGGTCAAACTACGTTGACTTCACGCTGCCGTACACGGAATCGGGAGTGTCCATGGTGGTTCCGGTGAGGCCAGATGGGAGCAAGAATGCGTGGTCGTTCTTGAAGCCATTGACGTGGGATCTTTGGGTGACGACGTTTCTCTTCTTTCTGTTTATCGGGTTCGTGGTGTGGGTTCTGGAGCACAGGATCAGCAAGGACTTCAGAGGCCCGCCTTCACACCAAGCTGGGACTAGCCTCTGGTTCTCCTTCTCCACCATGGCCTTCGCTCAACGTAGGAATCGACTGGTCGATCACGTTGGAATAAAATCATGCTTAGTTGTTTTTTTTTTTTTTTTTTTTTTGGTAATGTCTATTTTTTATATATGGAGAACAGATCCTAATATCGCACGTGCATGCAGGACAAAACCTGGTGAGCAACCTGACAAGGACGGTGGTGATAATATGGTGCTTCGTGGTGCTGATCATCATTCAGAGTTACACCGCGAGTTTCACGAGCCTCCTGACGGTGCAACGGCTGCGACCCACGGTGACGGACATGAGCGAGCTGTTGAGAAAGGGGGAGTTTGTGGGATACCAGGAAGGCACGTTTGTGGTCGGGCTATTGAACAGTATGGGATTCAGCGGTGACAAGCTCGTGAGTTATAATAGCATCGAGGGTTTTGACTCGCTTTTTCAGGCAAGGGAGAATCGTGGCTGCGTTTGATGAAGTCCCCTACATCAAGCTCATCTTGGCCAAACGCTGCTCCGAGTACATGATGATCGATCCCACTTATAAAGCCGACGGCTTTGGCTTTGTAAGTTTCCCCTCGATCTCCTCAATCTATCTTTTTTTTTCTTTTGTAGTTGGTTGTTTTTTCTTTTATATGAATTATATGACTGATGTTAGTAAACAATATATGATACACAATTGAACCTTTCACAATAACTCGAATTATTGGGATCAATTGGTTTTTTGGACGTGATATCAGAGCCTTCTGTGACCGAGAGGCGGTCTTCTATTCGAATCCCGCAATGACCCCCGATCTATTTATATTAAGCACATGGTGTCCGCACCTATGCAAACTTCAACCCCCATATATGGTGACTTTTCGTTTGAGGGACTGTGTTAGTAAACGATATATGATCCACGATTGAACCTTTACTAATAAATATATTTATTGGGATCAATTGATTCTTGACAACTGCATGCATGCAGGTCTTTCCTAAAGGCTCCCCATTAGTTCCAGACATTTCACGAGCCATCCTCAACGTCACTGAAGGAGACAGCATGACAAAAATCGAAGAAACATGGATTGGCAAGAACAACAAGTGCCCGGAGTCCAGCACCTCACCTCCTATAGGGAACCAACTGGGGCTGAACAGCTTCTGGAGCCTGTTTCTGATTGCCGGAGTGGCCGCAGTTTCAGCGCTCTGCATTTTTTCTGTTATGTTCGTTTACGAGCACAGGAAGCTTTTGTTTCCCTCAAAAGATGACTTACATTCGAACCCTTCATTCTGGAGAAGGGTTCTGAATCTGTTCAAGACTTTCGATGAGAAAGACCTCAAATTCCATACTTTCAGGGACGACAGAGTTGGTAACGAGATTAACCTTGCCGATTTGAATGTGATGACGAGCCCTTCCACGTTTTCGGTGGAGACGACGGAGTTTCCTGCGGGATCATCCCAAAAACCAATTACTCCGCCGCTAGATTCACCGTCGGAGTTGAACGAAAGCACAGAGCCTCGGGTAGGAGAGATTAACAACATGGATTCACATCCAAATTCCAGTGTAGGAGGAGTTATTGCTACTGCTGATGGTGAAATTATTACAAGTCGTGTGTTTTAGTTATTGGTATTTTTTTTTGGGTTGTCAATTAAGGGAGTGGGGTTAGGAAGTGGATTAGTTAAAGAGGGACTATTTTATTAAGGGTTATAAGTATAATATGCCCATTTATTATGTCGTTTTATCAAACATGCTCATCTATTATTTTTTACATCAAACATGCCCTTGTACGCTGGAAAAATGATCGAACGTGTCCTTTTGTTAAAATTTATGCCAATCATGGATGAACCGTGATTAAGACGACCCAATCCGACTCGGGCCGTGCCATCTAGCCCGACCAAGTCTCCTCCATCGGCCTTCCTTGATGCTGGGCCAAGTGGCGGCCCTGGGCTGTCCAATCACCCGCCTCAGCAAACCATTGCTCCTCCTAAGCTTCAGCGTGGTGACAGAGTCCGTGTACCACCCCGGCGACTAGCGCATTATTATACTGGAAGCAATGTGAATTCTGTCTGATATCCCATGGCATCCCATGTTTCTTATGACCGTGTTACCCCCATTCTATCGTGTTTTTGTTGCAGCCATTACTTTGCAGGTGGAGCCCCGTTCTTTTCGTCAAGCAGTTCTTGATGAGCATTGGCGCCTTGCCATGCGCACCGAGATTAGTGCCCTCGAGAAAAATGGCACATGGAGTCTCGTGGATTTACCACCTGAGAAGCGTTGCATTGACTGCAAATGGGTTTACAAAATCAAGTTCCATCCCGATGGTTCTATCAAGTGTTACAAGGCTCGTCTTGTCTCCAAAGGTTACACACAAATAGAGGGCGTTGATTTCCATGATACGTTCACACCGGTCGCCAAGTTGGTTACAGTTCGTAGTCTACTTGTTGTGGCTATCAACAAGGGATGGTACGTTCATTAGTTGGATGTGAACAATGTCTTTCTTCATGGGGATCTTGATGAGGAGGTTTATATGCTCATTCCCGAGGGTTTTGCAGCACCTGGCGAGACTCGTGCTTGTCGGCTTAATAATTCCCTCTATGGTCTTAAGCAGGCTTCTCGAAAATGGTATCAGAAGTTCACCACTGCCCTCCGTGAACTCCAGTTTCGTGCCTCACATGATGACCACTCTCTATATATCTATCAGCGGGGGAGTACTTTCGTAGTCGCCCTCATCTATGTTGATGATGTTCTTCTCGCAGGTAATCATCTTTCTTTTATCTCACGTGTGAAGTCCTTTCTTGATGCTCAGTTTAGCATAAAGGATCTTGGTCTCGTTCGCTATTTTCTAGGCATTGAGGCTGCTCGCTCCTCTGCTGGCATGGTTCTTAGCCAGCGCAAATATGTGCTGGACATTTTTTCTGATGTTGGTATTACTGGTTGTCGGCCCAACATGTTTCCTATCGAGCAAAATCATCACCTCACTCGGCCCGATGACTCTGCGCTTGCTGAGGATCCATCTGTTTATCGTTGTTTAGTCGGTCGAGTCTTGTATTTGACAGTTACTCGACCAGACATCACATATAAATTCAATTTACTTAGCCAGTTTGTCCATGCTCCTACTCGTGATCACATGAATGCGGCTCAGCGTATTCTCCGCTACTTGAAGATGTCTCCTGGGCAAGGTGTCTTCTTCCTCACTAATAACAATTTATAGCTTACCGCCTACTGTGATGCATATTGGGGTGGCTGTCAGACGACTCGTCGTTCGACTACAGGTTATTACATCACCCTCGGCGATGCCCCGGTGTCCTGGCGCACTAAGAAGCAACAAGTTGTTGCTCATTCTTCAGCTGAAGCAAAGTATCGAGCCATGACCAGCACTGTAAGTGAATTGCTCTAGTTGAGGTGGCTTTTGCGCGAGCTTGGTGCTCCACAGGATGGTCTCGCACCACTCTACTATGACAATCAAGTTGCTCCCCATATTGTAGCTAATCTAGTCTTCCATGAGCGCACTAAACATGTGGAGATGAATTGCTATTTTGTTCGTGTACGAGTTCAATCCCGAGACTCCGCTTAAAGTTAGCTCCCATCACCAGCTAGTTGATCTCTTCACTAAAGAGCTTGGTGCTGATCATTTTCATGCCTTACTAGCCAAGATGGGCATTCATGACCTCCACCCTCCATCTTACGGGGGAGGATTAGACGAGGCATATCCACAGCCTAAGTCGGCCCAATCCAAGTCGGATACGGCCCAACTTAATCACCAGCAGCGGACACCTTCGTCCTCCACCTGTGGTGTCTTTTCCTTGGAAACCCTAGATGATTGTCGTAGGGTTATATATTGAAAGGCCATTGGTCGTGATCAATTAATCTAGTAATAATAATTACAGTGGGAGAGACTCTTCTCTCCCGTGGACTAGTCTCGTGCAACGGGGATACCACGTAAACATCTGTCTCTTTCGTTACCGCTCTTAACAATATTTCACACTTATCTATCCTATCGAATACTCATCATATCTTATAACCATGATAAACACTAACCATCAACTTCTAAAGGCAAAAAAAAAAAAAAAATCCGAAGTCTTACTTTGGTTATTATGTTATGTACTTTCCATTTAACATTGGGATGCAAATTACCAAGTGTTAATTGTATCAAAGCCATAAAAAGCGTCAATTTTCTCTAAACAATTGGTGATCATAGAGTGACGAAAGATTTGACGCCTATGCGTAAAGCGTCTTTAAAAATATGTTATCAGCAACTTCGTTTTCTTTGTTAACGAATATTTATTAAAGTACGAGGTCAACTGAAAAACTGGTATGAGAAATCGCTATTACAATTTACAAATGAAAAACATTACTGCTACCCAAAACAATACTACAATAGTTTAAAAAAAAAATAATGATTAGAATAAGAATCATCATTGTTTGAAAATAGCTACTACAAAAGAAAAACTCAACAACATAATTCCATATTATAATATGAAATCACGAACAAGTTGGACACTTTGATTGTGCCGACTGCCGACTGCCGACCACGAATTACGATTTCCAAACAAAACTTTTTTTATACACTTATGACTTAACAATGTGCTTACCTGCCAGGATATCGTCTGTCGTTCGGCGCAGACCGAAGAAATAACCTCTCTTGGTTAGTGGTGGATTAAATTTTAAATAGGGGTGTCACCTCCTAAAAATTAAGTTAAATTAATTATTAAATAAGAAAATATCTGATTTGTCCAAAGTACAACAAAGCACATGACGTGTTTCGTACTTTTGAAAATTTGTAAAATACAATCGGTGTCTAACAATGCTCTATAAAATCTCTTTCGATATATCCTACTAGACTAGGGGAGCCCGTAATTGGGTTTAATCGTTAGCTTTTGAAAACAATTGGGATACAAAATAGATTTTTACTATTATATTTGTATTTGAAATACAAGAATAAATGAGTTACAGTTTAATGAAAAATATGTTTACTAATATTAGTATCGACCCAAGTTCAAATCACATAGGCAACCACTTAAATGTTTATATTTACCCATACACAAACTGTTGGAAATGTGTATGAATAGCTTTGAAAGCTATAGAGTCTCAAGTGGAAAAACTACCACATTGGTAGTTTTACTTGGTGAAGTGATTATAAAGATAGGAGCCTCTCTCCTAAGGGCATGCCCCTTGGGGTGACCCACTTTTGTGGGAGAGGGAGGACCTAACGGACCACCACACACGCGCGCGCCGTCCGTCCGACCGGTCGGTCGGTCGGTCGGTTAATCGGTTATTCTGAGGAATATTCTAAGGATAATCCCAGCAGGATTTATCCTAACCGACGGTTTTAATTAAGGAAGTAATTATCTTCCTTAATTAATCCGACTTATTCCCCAACCTAGAGGGTATATTCCTAGGGGTTCGGCTCCTATAAATAGCCGCCTCCCCAGCCCCTCTAAACACACCAGAACGAGCATAAACACAATAGAGAGAGTGTTCAGAGAGCTCCGGTTTTCGCACAAAACCGCGAGTACCTAGAGGAGCTGTTTTATCCTGGAGACGACCGGTTGATAGTCTGCCGTGCGCATCGAGGGCAGTGCCGCGAACGTCTTAAAGAAAGCGACCTAGTCCGCGACTCAGCTCCAGATTCGGTATCCTCATCTTGTTGTTGTTCCGTTTCTAACAATTTTAAGACATTCGGCTGCTGCTATGTCGACTGAACAGAACAACATGGCCGGATCTGGTGCTGTCGATATCAATCGACCGTTTCGCTTCGTTGGAGTCAACTTCCGTCGCTGGAGACAAAAGATGGAGTTCTACATGACGACCAAGAAGTTGGCACACTGCCTCACCAGCATGCCCGTCGAGCTGCCGGAAGAAGCGACCGATGAGGAGAGGACTGCTGCTGCTAAGGAAAGGGAGCATGACTTCCTATGCAAGGGCTACATCCTCAACGGCCTGGCAGACGACCTCTACGACTACTATGCGGATAGCAAGAACACCGCAATGATGGTCTGGGATGCGCTCCAAAAGAAGTACGACACGGAGGAGGCTGGAGCTAAGAAGTATGCTGTCAGCCGCTACCTGCGCTATCAGATGGTGGATGACAAGTCTGTCGAAGTTCAGTCCCACGAACTTCAGAAAATAGCTCACGAGATCGTCTCTGAAGGTATGCCTCTGGACGATCAATTTCAAGTTGCTTGCATTATTGATAAGCTGCCCCCTTCGTGGAAAGATTTTAAGAATATGCTTAGACATAAAACCAAAGAATTTTCACTGGAAAGTTTGATTACTCGCCTAAGGATTGAGGAAGAGTCCCGCAAGCAGGATATGAAAGAAGAGGTGATGGTCGTCACTGCTAAACGACCCACCCCTAGAGCTCTTAAACCTAACCAGAAAGGGTTTAAGGGTAAGAACCAGCAGGTCCGCCCCCACCAGAATGGTGCCTCTCGAGGTAACCAAAGGGTCATGGCCCAAACCTCTAAGAATGACCCACCGTTTATCTGCTTTAACTGCGGAAAACCGGGTCATATGGCAAAAAAGTGCAGGAACAAGCATAACCCCGCCGCTGCGGCCAGGGTTAACTTGACAGAAGAGGATTTGGTAGCCATGATCACAGATATGATCGCTGAAGTTAACCTCACCGGTGACTCAGAAGGATGGTGGCTGGATACAGGTGCATCGAAGCATGTATGCAACAATCGTGCTATGTTTAAAACATACGAAGAAGCACCTGCTGACAAGAAAGTGTTGTTGGGGACTACTCACACCACTATGGTTGC